TTGAACTTTTTTTTAATTCTCTTATTGGGGGGTGGAGTCCAGCTGGGTCCACTAGGCACGGCGGCCACTGATTGGCCTATTGTACCTGTTCCGGTTTATTATGCTGCTGGATAATTTAGTGGAATGAACATAGGCAGGGGAAACCGAAGTACTCGGAGAAAACCCGCACCAGCGCCACTTTGTCCACCACAAATCCCACTTGACCAAACCCGGGATTGAACCCGGGCCGCCGCGGTGGGAAGCCAGCGACTAACCGCTTGAGATATAGCGCGGCCTTACCTTGAACTTAGTCACAACCGCTCCCTTTCGGATCCTATGTTGAAACCTAAGAAGCAGGAGGAAATTTTCTTTGTGAGTTCTGCGTCTATGAGGATGGTGAATATCAACATCACAGTCTTCAGAGACGTGACGCTGTGTAGTCTGGTAGAAAGTTACAAACGTTTCGGATTTACCTGCTATCACCATCTTCAGAGTTGAAGTTGGAGACATCGAGTTCCTCTGGAACGTTTGTAACTTTCTACCAGACTACACGGCTGCACGTCCCAAGTGGAGATAGAGACAGCAAGTTCCGCGAGAACGCTGGTAACTTTTTATCAGACCACACGGCGTGGTAACCGTCAGAGTCGGTGGTGGGAAAGCATCGAAAGGGAAGAAATCAGACATTATTTCATTCGGACGTTATGAATCATGAATGTAGACTAGCCCCGTGTGCTGGAAATTGCCGCTGGCCGGCCGGCCGGACCACACAAGAGCGGGCAGTGGGCGGAGGGCCCAGCACTGCCACCCAGGGTGAAACATCTGCTAGCTGCTCCATCAACCTGGGCATCGAACTACGGACAGAGCAAAGCTTCATTTATGTCTGCTCTGTGTTCGGTTACGGTGATGTTCGTGGTCTGGTACAGCTGAGTCTGCTGCTGTTGAGTATGTCCTTTATAGGGTCGCCAAGTGCCCTAAGAGGCATCTAATAGAAAAGTGGGCTACGATGTCCCGCATAGACATTCCTACTCATACAATATAATTAGTACTGATTTTTCGGCCATTTATTAATTTTTATTTTACTGTACAAATATAAATATGGAAATAGAATCCTAACCCCCCTCCAAAAAAAAAGGGGGGGGAGGGAATGAAAGCGAGAAATGAAATAGATTTTGTAAATTCATGGTCCTAGTACACGTATTTGCTGTTCTTATTTGCTTGCCTACAGGTGACTACGGGAAAGTCGAATGAGTCAGGCGTCGCGCTCAGTTTGGCTGTCTTGAGGAAGGCAATCCAGTGTGTTAGTGTGTCCCTTGTCACCCCGGCATGGCGCGTCCTCAGGTTGCGGATGGAGGAGACGGCCTCCAGATATGGAGGGAAGCTGCGAATATATTGAATAAGCAGTAGCGAAAAGCTGACAACGGATGGTCCTACAGTTTTGGGGTTGATTGTGGGGCTAATAATTTTGTTACGAAATGTCACGAAAGGTCCTCGGACTTGGGCGGATTCTTTGAATAAACTACCTAAGCTAAGTAAAATCCATATGAGATTTGGGGTGGTATGTAATGGATTTATCTGGCTCAGAATAGGGACCAGTGTCGGACTGTTGTGAAAATGATAATGAACTTAAAGTTTTCATAAACTATTGGAAAATTCTTGAGTAGCTGAGCGACTGGCGGCTTTTCAAGACGGGCTCATCTCCATGGAGTTAGTTAGTTGAGCGTAACAAACAGAGGTCAGAATATCCCGTTCAAATTAAGCAGTACTAGACCAAATGTTGGATCATGTGGTACAGATTTTCTTGACAGCCGCTTAAAAACTTTTTAACTACGTAATATTTCTTGCATCACGTTTTGGGCCGGTGGTCACGCTGCAACTGACCCATCTGACCTCAAATAAAAACAGTAACTTTCCCACAATTGTCTCTGGATTCATACGAACTGAGAACAAACGCATCTTATGTTCTCGTCAAGTAACTAATTAAATAGCCTTAGTTTTTTTTTCTGTGGGTGCTGCAGTCCATGATGAAGCCTGGTCTCTGATTCGCTTGTACATTTTCTTTATCATATAGATAGTCGGTAGGACTCCTTTGGTGGGGGAGCAGCTCGCGGCAAAGCCGCTACATACACAGGACGACACAAGGATAGAATAAATGCAGACAGATATCAATGCCTCGAGTGAAATTCGAACCGGCGATCCCAGTGTTTGAGTGGATGAATACAGTTCATGTCTTAGGGGGCCCACACACGTACGAGTCTGGCTCGCGAGTCCAGCTCGGCGAGGAGCCGGGCTCGGATTAATTTCATCACACACGTATGAGCGTGGCGACCCACACACGGACGAGTCTGGCTCATTGGAACCCGAGCCAAGTCGGACTCGCGAGCCAGATTCGTACGTGTATGGGCCCCCTTAGACCGCGCGGCCAATGTGATCGGAAAATAACCGTGTACGAAACTTTCGTTTCATATCACACCTATATGTGGAGTCTATTTTCTCGCTCAGAGATCGAGTGTCTGAGATCAAAGCCCTAAGGAAGATATTTGGTCCTATGAGAGGGGAAGTAACAGGCTTTTAGACGTCTAATCCTTTATGACGGAGTAAAACCATGCAACGACGAGTGTTCCAACTTCTCTCCTTCACTTGAAATTGTTACGATGATTAAAAGAAGAGAAACGGAGTGGGTGAGACATGTAGCACACAAAGGAGAAATAATAAGATGAAAAGAATTGTTAGCCGATAAATCTTCAAGCAATATACAGTTTTCTGGAAGGAAGATTCCACTTCGGAAAACTGAGTCATTATTGTCGTGGCCCTTGACTTGGCTGTGATCAATTATCTGCAGTCTCGATCAGTGTGGGTACACTTGACGTTGTTTGCAGACCATTACTCTATGGTACAAATAGTAAGAACCGATTCTAAAACATCAAAAGGAACAAACAAATTAAAATATTTCAACATAAAAGCAGCCTTCAATTTCTTGCATTCTGACAGGAATGCTTGGCATCTGTTTATTATCGAAATGCTATGTGGGGGCCACGCAGTCAAATTTCTGATTTCTAGTTCTTTTACTTCTTTTTATAGGAGGCAATGCCGATGAAAATAAAACAATATTCAGGAATTCGTTATTAAAAACTGGCACAAATTTCAGTGTCGCCATTCAGTTCAGTTCTTGTCAGTGAACAACATTTCAAGCCACACATTGTCATGCGTACACAAACATTCGAACTGCAGTCTCTTACCTGGAACACATCCCAATTCAAGACACAGGGAAACAAGAATGAGAAACCCGCGAGGACCGTGGAAGTCAGTGACGGTTGAAGGGAGAAGAAAAACCAAATGTTTTTATGAAAGTTTGTATCATTCTGCCGGAAGAATGTTAAGTATGTAAGCAGAGTGGCGCCAAGAGGTGGTGGGTAGCAATCATCGTGAAACCCTCTCTCTCTTTCGTATAAAGCTATCCGAGAGACGGTGAGGTTCCTCTCCCTTGTTAAGCGTATGGAACAAGATGAGACGTGATGCTACTTCATCGTATAAATGTAGCTTAGCTTGAGGTTTATGGGAACAATCAGCAGGGTTTGAAGTGGATGGCGGCTTCTTAATAATGCCGTGATGAAGACGTGTCTGTGGTGAGCTCTGAAGAGGCACAGGTTAATTCAGACCATAATACTGTCATGTGTAGTGACCAGACACGTGGTTTGCACTGATTAGTAAATTTATTGTAAACTCATGACGCATAAAAATGAATAGTTATAGCGCTTTCACTAATCTACACACTCTATAAATAACTACAGTACAAAATAAGCCGTTTCAGTCGTTGTTTGTTAACGGCTTCTAACTATGACGATTTTTTCCTTCCTTACTCAAACTGACTACCGGCTCACGACTATCTGTTGTGAGAAGAACAGAGTAGAGCAGCAACTTGCTGCTGGCCTTCGCCAGCACCGTCATTCTTGGTTTCAGGCAACCTCGGGATCCATTTTTGTTTTCTTCCAAGATCATGTATATGTGTTGAAAGGGGGCCTCCTCTTCGGCAAGAGGATGGGTTTGTCTCCCTGTGACTACTGTGTACAGAGAAGCAATTTTCTGCTGGTCTTCGTTTCAAGGCCGAGACATACCCTAAGGTAAATATTTCATTTTCTTGGACATTTTTATTATCTTCCGCTTCCTCTCTGAATTATTATGGAGAAGATAAAACTTCCTGCTACAGTATATATACTCGTATATATATTTTTAGCACTCTGTATTAAATATTGGAAATTTCCCTATTTATTTATTTTCCCTGTAACTCGCCGCAGAAAATAATTTTATTGTTATTTACCATTTTCTCTTCGACTTAACTTTTAGAAGACTAAAACTGTATATATAGCAGTGTGCAAAGAATTGCCTTGGGGTTAGAACCTACGGAATTTTGCCGCGATTTGAGATATTTGAAGACAAGAATCAGTGTCTTTTTTATAAGCAAGTCTATGTTAGTTGAAAGTCTGATGCAATCCCACCTGTGAGTGGCTTATAGAACCATAATACGACGGGCCCCAAAGGGCGGATAGATGGAACTAGGTATCTGAACCCACACCCCCCGGGAGTTTGAAGGAAATCAGAATTAAAGAAAATGGGGAAATATGGAAAATATTAATTAATTACCGTTAGAAACATTGAAGAATGCCCTACCTGAATGATCAAGGACGGCCAGTAAAAATAGTCTCAGTCCCAGAAAGAAAAGCCTGACGGCGCAAATGAATATTACACGAATAGACAGAGCCTTGAGGATTATGTATCCTATAAGAATAAATAATAGGGACGTGGTATTTAGGTTTACATATTGTCTGTGCGGGTTTTAGAAGCTAGCCTCTGGTTGCGCTGTTATAGAATGACACGGCCTTCGTAAAATTACATCCTTCCACGTCTAACTGTCCTTAATCTTTGAGTCTGTATTTTGATCTTTGCTGAAAACCGTTGAGCTTCATGAAAGCGCCCTGTTGCTATCCAGCTCACTGTGCACAGGTGTCAGCGCGACAAGCCTTGATGTTGGTGTTGTGTTTGTTTCGTGTGTGCAGTTTCGTATTACATCTGAAAGAGCTACAGTTTTCAGTCCATGTAAGTGGTGTTTAAAATTAGATTAACTGACTTTGTGTTATCTTGCATGTTCTTTTAATTACTTTAATTCTGTAGGTAATCATTGCCTTGGAATGATAGAAGTTGTGCTGATCGCTTTTTCTTAAGGGCGGGAGAAAAACGCGGTCAACTGTGCCCGGTTACTCGAGTTAAATGAGACTGTACAAATAATTTAAGTCGTGATGATTACAGATTATTACAAATAATGATTTTGTTGGGATTATTGAGAAGTATTCGTGAGTTGTTGCACTTAATATTATACTTCAGATTCTGTTGTTATCTATCGACGCTGAATAAGTTACTGGAGTTAATTACGGCCATCATGAATGTGAGTGGCGAGTCGAAAAAATAGCTGGAAGAAATCCTTGCTGATTTTAAAGCACGACATTGGTAATTGATATATTAATAAGTTGTGTAACGACTCCGAAACTTGTGGCTTATTTCAGGATAACATTCTCTAATTCATTTATTTATAGACTGGAAAACGACAACCTAGCAACTACTAAGATTATGCCGTACAGATTTATGAGTGTTGCAGAAGTAAATTGCGAAAGATGGAAAGATGGGTTAGAATAAATCTTATTGTGCTCTTCCAGGATATTACAACTGATTCACGTGTAAGATACAGAACATCGTTGATCCAAAATTTGGACTGCTGTATTCAGAGTTAAAGTAGGGAAGGGAAACGGAAGGAAAGTTATTGAAGGGGTTGTTGTATATTTGATGGTAATGCTTAATTTATTCTAAATCATATGTATGCCTCTGTGAGGGTTGGAGTGAACTGGCATGTAAAGTGAGAAAAATGAACTAAGTGAAGAAGTGTTTAAAGAATATGATCAATTACAGTCCACCCATGACTAGCGCAGTCGGTATAGCGACTGGCTACGGGCTGGCCTACCGAGGGGTCGGAGTTCGAGTCCCGGTAGGGTCAAGAATTTTCTCTTCTGCACGTGGTCCAGACCGGCTCTGGGGTCTACGAAGCCTCCTATGCAACGGGTACCGGGGGCTCTTTCCCCGGTGGTAAAGCGGCCGGGGCGTGAAGCTGACCACTCACCTCCAGCTAGTGCCGAGGTCAAGAAAATGTGGATCTATACATCCACTCCCTCACACGCCTTCATGTCGTAGTGCTTAATTAGTTAAGCGCAGGGACAATTTTACCATTAAAAAACGTGATTAGTAACCCTTGCGTCACGAAGTGAAGCAAAGAATTTGCGAAGGATAAACTGGGAAGTGCATCCGGATGTTGTCATGTACGGCCTCCTTTTGATATTGCTATTTATACAATATGGTACAAGATTTAATATTTATCGGAATATAATGACGGTTATATACGTAGGTCTGCATAACCTGTATTAGCACTCTTTGCCCATTTCGACTGTTACATCTCTGTAACTCAGTTACATGACCGAGAAACTAGGGCGTTCGATTGCTAAGAGTGTGCATGTCACCAGCGAAACATATGAATGACGACGGACGAAGGTGACCTTGATTTGCTTCTTGATACAGGTGTTCACTTTTCAGCGACGTTGATGCGTGTGCAGTAGAAGGCGTTCTTGCGATAATATTCCTTCCTCTTTATTTACACTTGTGACCATTCGAAGTCGTCAGTAGCCCAGGCTATATATAAAGTGATTTTCCATCTGAAGTATGTGTTTAATGAAGACGTTTTCCACAACTCACTCATGGAGCTGAGCCCCTCATGAAAAGCCGCTGATTACGCAGCTACTCAAGAACTTCCCAACATTTTATAGAACCCGAATCTTCATTGCCGTGTTCACAAGAGCCGTCAACTTGTCCCTATCCTGAGCCAGATCAATCCAACCCATATCATCCCATCCTATCTCTCTAAGATCCATTTTAATATTGTCCACCCACCTACGCCTTGGTCTTCCCAGTGGTGTCTTTCCTTCCGGCTTTCCTACCAATATCGTATATGCATTGCGCTTCTCCTCCATTCGTGCTACATGTCCTTCCCACCTCATCCTCCTTGACTTGATCATTCTAATAATACTTGGAGAAGAGTACAAGTTATGAAGCTCCTCATTTTGTAGTTTTCTCCGACCTCCTGTCACTTCATCCCTCTTCGGTCCAAATATTCATCTTAACACCCTGTTCTGAAACACCCTCAACTTTACCTAAACAAACCCCCAAAAATATCTTAGAATTAAAATGGGTCTCTATGGAAATAGTAATAACAAATAATGCTTTCTTCTGAGATGTGGCGCAGTGTAGGTCTTGTGTGAACCGACGTTTCGGATGAACGTATCGCCTCCATTTTCAGGGTAGAAAAATCCGCGAACGAGGAACCAGCGTGAGTGGGTGACTGCAATCTGCACGCAGGTTCCTCGTTCGCGGATTCTTCTACCCTAAAAATGGAGGCGATAAGTTTATCTGAAACGTCGCTTCACACAAGATCTACACGGCGCCACACCCCAGAATACAGCATTCTTCATAGTCACTGCCGTGTAAACCTCAAATCTTACTTAATAATAACAAACTTAAGTATAAGCACGAAGAAATTAGACCAGATTGAATTCAGAATTTTTGCCTTTCGGTTCAGCAGCATCTTATGTCTTCAGTGATGAATTCCATATCTGAATTTTTTCATATATATCGACGTGTTGTCTCCAGAAACCGGTATTCTAAGCAGGTAAAATAGGAGTAAAGTTGTCTCTGTGCTTAAAAAATTAAGCATTACATCATAAAGTGTTATGCGGGAGTTATACGGCTGTACGTTTCTTTGGCCTCGGAACTATTTGGAAGTGAGTGGTCAGCTTCTCTCCCCGGCCGCTTTAGCCCCGGTACCCACCCAACCTCCTATCCAGTGGGTACCGGGGGCTCTTTCCCGGGGTTAAAACGGCCGTGGAGACAAGCTGACCACTCACCTCCAACCGAGGCCAAGAAAATGTAGATGTATACATCCACTCCCCCATACGTCTTCATGGCGTAGTGCTTAATTAGTTAAACACAGGGACAACTTTACCTTTATTTTGCCTTTTGGTTAGGAGGACCGGTGGGGCATAAGGCCGGTCTGGACGACGTGAAGAATGGGAAAGCCTTGAGCCTACGGGGACTCGAGGTCCGACGCCTCGGCCGTTCAACCCGTATCTGCAAGCGAGTAAAATAATTGTGTGTCAGGAAGACAGGCATCTCAGTTACATGTATGTTCTTATTTTGCGTTTAAAGAAGAAAAAACTCTGTGAAGTCGAGTCCATTTTCCATTGGGTTCTTAACGACACATCCTGAAAAGTACCTTAAAATGATGAGTGAAGAACAATTTCACAGTTATCCCAGTTACTGAAGTCGTATAGTGTCTTCTGCCGGTCACGGTAGCCGAGCGGTCTAATGCATATACTGTTTTCGCTCGGAAGCCGGGATCGTGGGTTGGAATACCACACAAAGCATGGATGTTTGGTTTGTATATGAGTTTATTCTGTGTTTGTGTTGTCCTGTGTTTAGGTAGAGGCCTTGCGACGAGCTGATCACCCGTCCAAGGGGTCCTGCCGCCTATAAAATAATCATGAAACTGAGAAAGCAGGCCTATGCTCCAAAGTTGGAGCGAGAGGAAGAAGGAAAAAAAGTGACTCCTCGCAGCCGAGCAAGTTGGCGTAATGGTAAAGCACTGAACTCGTGTTTGGTGTGTACACCATTCGAATCTCGGTTGGAACACCGACTAACCAGAGTTCTTTTTTGTGGTTTTCCTTAGTCCTCCAGGGAAAATACCAGGTAGCACCTCAATTAGACTACAACCCCTTCCTTACAAATTCTTCCCAATTCATCATTCCTCTACTATCCCATCATTCGACTCCATATATTCTCGCTACTGACACCGTCGTAAAAGAAACCTAAAAAAAGACATGATACAAAAATGGGCTAAAGAAAGAAACTGGATTGAGGGTAAGAAAGTACTGAAAAAAGGGGGGAAAAGTTTAGCACAAGGTTTTTTAAAAACATGTACTAAGACCAAGGGGAAATACAGAATGAAAGAATACTGGTAAGTAAGCAACATAAGAACATTCATACATTCTCAATGGCTTTACAGCCCTCTGTTGGGATCTGGCCTCTTCTTCAGTTTCGTAATATTTTTTTTACACAGACTGTAAAACTCCTTGGACGGGGGATCAGCCCGCCGCAAGGCCGTTACCTACACACAGAACAACACAAACACAGAATAAAGGCAGACAAACGTCCATGTCTTGAGTAGACGGAGGAGAAGAAGATGAAAATGAAGCAAGTAAGAGAAGCGAGTTTTGTTCTTGTAATGGTACAGTTGGATAGGAAACAGTTGTTCTGAAAATGTTGCACAGTTCAGATATTTGGGAACAATGATAACACATCGAAACCTGATTCAGGAGGAAATTAAGAGGAGATTGAACTCGGGTAATGCTTGTTACCATTCAGTCCAGAACCTTTTTTCTTATCGTCTGCTGTCGAAAGACATAAAAATTATAATATACAAAACTATAATTTGCCCTGTGGTTCTGTATAGGTGTGAAACTTGGTCTCTGATATTAAGAGAGGAACATAGACTGAGGATGTTTGAGAACAGGGTGTTGAGGAGAATATTTGGACCTAAGAGGGATGAGGTGACAGGAGGTTGGAGAGAACTACACAATGAGGAGCTTCATAACTTGTACTCTCATCCAAGTACATACAATTAGAATGATCAAGTGAAGGAGGATGAGGTGGGCAGGGCATGTAGCACGAATGGGGGAGACGAGGAATGCGTGCAGGATATTGGTGGGAAAGCCAGAAGGAATGAGACCACTGGGAAGACCAAGACGTAGGTGGGTGGACAATATTAGAATGGATCTTAGAGAGATAGGATGGGATGGTATGGATTGGATTGATCTGACTCGGGATAGGGACCAGTGGAGGGCTCTTGTGAACACGGTAATGAACCTTCGGGTTCCATAAAATGCTGAGAAATTCTCTAGTAGCTGCAGAATTGGCGGCTCCTCCAGAAGGGTTCAGCTCCATGA